TCAGAAAGTGGTAACATGCTCTGATGAAGCCATTCTCGAAATGGGTCTCCAGAATGATGTTTCTTTAATACAAAAACACCCCCATTTTCAACACCCAATTGTAAGCAGTACATGAGTTGATGCATGCGACAATCCAATCCACATATATTAGTGAAGTCTAATGTTACATATTTGGCCTTTTTACAATCTGACGGATTCTATATGTATATGATCACAAGGTAAAATCCAAATTTTGATTTATTAATAAGAATCAAACACATTGTAAAATTGATTTACAACAATTTCATAGATACAAATATTAAAATGATCTAAAGGTACTCAATCAGTCAACAACAATGTCAAACTTCGTATGTATACACATCAGTTCAAGTTGTCATACCACATTAGAACATTGATTGAACTGTCAATTCAAATCGCATAGTGGTAGAGATAGCAAGAGTATAAGAAGTTATCGGAAACATTAGGGTTTGAAAATGTTATTCGAAGAGTATAATCTAGTGAATTAAATTTGGAGAGAAAAAAGAGACAAGGAGAATCCAGGAGATTAAAATTCAGAAAAATACAAGGAGTGAATGCTCCTGCGTACACCATTAAAAACGATTTTGAGCCGTATCATTCAAGGTCTCTAACGTTCGATTGCTATCGTCTCGCGGATCCGACCAGGCAGTTTACACCTACCAACATGATTCAGTGCACTTGTCAGCGACTTCATGGATTTGTGACAGGTTTTGGTCTGGCCGCTCCAGATTTCTTTGCCGTCCTTACCTAGTACTCGTCTCCTAACAACTGTATTACTTACTCACTATAATGATCTGAAGGATGGTGATGATTGTCAATAATTTGATTCAGATACAAAACATTCTGAACCTGTGTTTGTAAGTTCCCTTGATCGTATCTGATACCCTTTTGAATATGAGTTGAAACCTGCAAACTGTGCTGGTGATGATGTAATCAACTGCTTGATATCATACCTTACTGATACAAAATATCCAACGAAATTAGAAAATTTAAAGTATTTGTGTTTTAGTTTGCAATCGACAGATTGTCGTATGGGTGACAGTGTAGTGAACGAGAACACAAATGGGAATCAATCAATCAAATCTGAGAACCATACAGCAGATTCGTCATTGACAAAATTTCAATCAATCGTCTCAAAATTCATTGTTTCTTTGCTTTCACACCAATCACTTTCTATTCTCGCCCTATTTCTTCATATCTCCTCAGCCTTCTTCCACCAGGCATTTCACTTTCGACCCATGATACATACTACTTGTTTCTGTCAGCACCAGTAGCACACAACAAAACAGTTCACAATGGTTGCTGTTGGTTCACACACCAGCATAGATAGACAGATATATTTTCCTCCTTACTTCTTTTACAAGTTTAAGAACTTGACTTATTCCAAAATGATAAAGAAGTAATAAATTCTAACCTGTTGTTTTTGAATCTTCTCCTGTAATCGCTGTGAAAGCTTATTTAAGCCATTCTTTCTGATTTGTGAAAATTCATCTAATTCACCTAGTTTGTTAAGTATAGTTTGCAAGTGTGTAATAGTTTCCTCCATATTCTGTCGATAACGAACTAACGATGCTTGTATTGATGAAACTGTTTCAGTGTCCAATTCCTTTTGATTAACTTTTTTTAATTGGGTAAAAATGTTGTGTAAATTGTTCAAAGTGTATCGTGCTTCATAAATGTAATTCAAAGCACGACGTCTAAGTGTTTCATGAGAAATACCTATTCGATCTACATCTAGAATAAAAACATTAAAGTTAAATATTTCACCTTATTATCATTATTATTACACACAATACAAACTGAACATTTCGGTGAGACTATAATTTATGGACGAATCAATCAGGTATGTGAAAATAGATCTCGGATAACCCTCATTTGGTACCAGTTATTAGGCGGACATTCAATGTCACTCTAGTATCGTTCAAAGATCGTTCACAAATTATGATCTCATCACCAAATAACTGGCATGCTACATGAGTGTTCAAGGATGTGAGAAGTACTGTCAACGTCGTTTACGTAGTTAGCATGTAGAGCCCCGAATCGTACACAATAGAAATTCATAATTAACATCAGCGTTTGCCGAATCAAGTTAGTTTGCAGTTAAACGTTTTGCATAAAACCACTTGCACTTTTACTTTAGTGTAAATACTGATGATATGTACATGGAGAAAAGAGATTGACTGATCTCGCTAACTTTCTAACATGACGTCTATGGAAGGGTGGCATGTGTTGATGGAGTGTAAGATATCTTCTAATTCAAAATTATCGTCAGAAATGACAAATGCATCGTCTATGTATCTTACGTATATAAGAAATCAATTAATCATCAAATCAAGATGTAATAGAAACATTATACTACTAGATTGTATACATTATTTATACCACTTTGACCTTTATTAACCTTCCCTTATTGTAACAAAAACATTTTAATCGTCATACTACATTCATGTTATAATTCGTTACTAACTTATTAAAACCACTGTTACTATTTCTATTACGTAATCCAATGTTATAATTCTTCTATTACATCATCTCCATTATTTCTTGTTCACATGTACTCATGGAACTAGTACTTTTATATGTAAACAACTGTAAAGTTTGATAAGCAATTCGTTGAAAAGAGATCACTTCGCTAAACTTCGTGTTTTTATTGTCTAAATCAGAATTATCTGTCAAATATTGATGAGACGTATTGACACTAAGGACGACTTACTGTACTTACTGACAATATTCAGTATTGTTGGGGATGTTAGATCCTCAAAACGCATTTGATGAATGCCTTTTGTTGGTAATTCTATTTTTTTAAAGTTTTTAATCTTTTGTTTTCGTACCAAAAGTACTCATTTTCATCTTCATGTCATATTTCTCACTTCGGAGCACTTTAAATGTCATAGGTTTATTATCTCTTTTTATATGCCATTTTGTACCGTTTCCCAAGGACATTTTCATCCTGTATATATATGCTTAAGTTGTGTGCTTTTTGTTGCTCGTGCTTCTGACTATTTGTGGAATACATTACCCCTCTTTGAGCCTGGACTGATATCCACCTTGAGCCCCCCTGTGTCTAGTACAGGTCCTAAGTCCGGATAAAGGAGGAAGATTAGGCATGTGTGTGGCAAAGTGCAATAGCCTCCATGTAAGATAAATATATTTTATATTTTATTAGACAATACATAACTCAGATTGAAAATAATCAAATCTCTTCATCAGTTCACTATCGACTTCTCAAACATTGAAACTACACACTATAAATCATTCCAAAAGTTACTTCTATTTCAACTTCCAGTGATTTACTTTAATGCACTGCTATAATATCTAGAAGGCGATCATTCACAAGCAATCTACATAGAGATCATTTCACTCATATACGTATGCAGATATATTTCACATTATAAGAAAAGTAAGAGGAACTTTTAAAGATATGAAATGATGAAAGTCCAATATTTTGTTGAACCCAGTACTGAATAAAGCCACTATTATTGTTCTTATTACGTTTATTATTGAACAATAAATAATAAAACCTACTTTTTATCTGATCCTCCTTGATTAAGACACTTTCACTGAAATAGAAAAGTTAAAAGTTCCTTAGTATTATCTAATAAAAGCTAAATTTTGTATGATTGTTGTTATGGTGATGTTAGTTGTTCTGTTGATGTATGGTTTCCTGAACTACATCGTTCAATAGAATAATACAGATAACTAATAATACATAAATAAGAAATTTTAATAAATTCCATGACAACGAAATATGAAATTGTACTCATTCTTAATGTCTATTCATACTATGAATTCATTGTTCAATACTTTGTTCTCGTTGACCATCAAGCTATAGTTTCCTTCTTTAAACAATAAAACAGTTTCAAATGTAAAATTAGATTCGTTGCATTAGAAATGATGGTTAATAATTAATATAGATTTATGGATGATCAATTGTCATGGCAATATAGAATATATGTACAACATGTGACAGTTTAGGCATCCACAGTTTTACACATCTACAGAAAGCTCATAAACATTCCCAGTAAAGACACTACTGGATATCCCGAAAACAATAGTTAATTAAATTAACAGGTACCATGATGATACATTGTTGACACAAGCTTGGATGATTAACTACTAAATATCAAATGATGGATTATAAAGTAAAGGTGTAAGAAAATACCTAGTTGGTTAATCCACCTAAAAACAAACTACATACTGGAAGACTAATTATCTAAAAGTGAACTTATGTTAGGCAACAATTGTATCCATTTGATAACTGAGACGACTTCTTAGCTCACTCCATCATGAATACTTTTTCAGTACCAATGAAATGACAGAAGGATAGAAATACACTAGGCAAATCGTCAAACTGCATCACGAGGCAAGTCCTAACTTGGAATTCGGAAGAAAAGCGGAAAAGAGGAAGTTCAAACAACACATTACGTCGGGAAATAGAAGCAGATATGAAAAAGATGAATAACAACTGGAAGGAGCTGGAAAGCATTGCCCAGGCCAGGGTTGGATGGAGAATGCTGGTGAGCGACCTATGCTCCTTCACGAAGAGTAACAGGCGTAAGTAAGTAAGTAGAACCACTGAAAAAGCTAATTGTTCTTAAAATATTCAGAGTTGTGTATAATAATAAAAGAAGTGATATTTTCATATACCTGAGGTCAAATAATCTAGAATGAGAAATCTCATCTGTGATCCAATCCACTCCTTCACTAGTAACTGCTATGTTATCGACCAGACCTTCACGGCATAATTCCGTTTTCGAGAATGTCTTCTTTCTGAAGTAATCTCTTATACAAAACATCAAAACTGGCAATAGAGATAACCATACAACAACGAGGAATTTGAATTCATATTTCGAATATCTGGATGAATGAATGAATAAACTATGAAAATATCTCACCGCATGATTTCGTATTTTGCCCTTCACAAAGTCCTGTGCTTTTCTTCTTCAATAGTCAAAGAGGAAATTGAGACCCAGCCTGAAATAAGTAAACAAGAAGAGAAAGAGAGTATCAGCCAGTTACAGATACACAGCGTAGGACGTAGTACATTGGTTTAAGTTCCCATTCCCCATTAAGACAGAAAGATAAAATCGTCAGAGCAAATCCCAGAATAATAGAGGCAGTAACAGTACTCCTAGTAATGGAAAAGACTGAGCATCAAAAATATGATTGGAAAAATACAAACTAGTGAAACACGTTTTTTGGAGGAATTTACAACAGTTAGGACCTTTGAGGAGAAAAAGGTGAATGCACATGTGCCATAGCAAAGGATTTTGATCCATGTCATCTAAAGTCTTTAACCCTTAATAAAGATAATTGATTGTCCGAACTTCAACTAGGTAATCTACACCTGTTAACATGGATCAGTTCAATGATCAGCCACTGCATGCACTGGCTACGTGTTTTAGTTTGACCACCTTGGTTTTCTTCTAACCTACTTCTACACCACCAATCATCAGTCGTATCAGACTTGCGAATCGCTTGGGTTTGCCGACACGCGGCTCCTAATTTACCCGTGCTCGAGACCGGTGGTAGCGCTAGAAGAGCTACAGGCGGAGTTTCATATTCATCTACCTGCATTTAAATTGTAATTGAAACATAATCGATATGCCTTGTCTTAAGAACTAATTGATAACTGAATAATGGAGGCATCTATATCGCATGTAATGACCTCAATACAACTGTTATGTCTATTCAACCTTTAATAAATTAGTCACCTTAGGATATACCTTCCAAAATAGAACATCTACTCGTTATTTGCCTTCGTTTTTAGGTTTGATTTCTCACTAAAACGACTTTAATTGCAATCACTCAAACAGATCCATATAGATTCAAATACGTCCTAGTGATTTCAGATAAAAAGTTTTTGCTACTTGTGTCAAAAAATAACAGATTCAAATGTTTTGCGTATTACTAGTAATATATTCTTGCATAAATTTATTGCTAAATTAGGTATACCATTGAGAATATGATTTATAATTAGTGGGAGCCTGGCTACTAACCCGCATCTATAATATCATTACAAACCATCGTCAGCATTGAGCAAGTTGTTACTAAGCTAATTTAAACGTATAGAATTTTTAGTAGACTGCATCGACTAATGTTTCATGTTCGTGCTTGCGATGCTAGACTGCTAAGTGACTTAGCAAGTTGTTACTTAGATTTGTAGAGGCTCATGAAAACATCAACATTATCGAATAAGAGACAGTAGTAACCATGAGAATAAATGTTAGTGGGCGATTGGATTAATATATAAAGCCAATAGCGTAATTAATGGTCCGAAACATTATAAATAGCGTTAACTTGGACAAAATACGTAGTAAAATTAGGCGCATTCACGTACTTATATTATGAAATGAAACCAAGAAGAGTACTTCATATAACATCACAAAAGTTATCTTATCGTCGTAGATAAGTATGAGGTGAAATAAAATGAAAATGTAAACGAACTCACCTTAAACAATAAAATGTTTGAATTGATAAATCATTATGAAAGATATATCATTGCATTAGGTCTAGATATTCTTAATTTAGTCACCTAAATTTAATTATTAACAAATTTGAAAGATCCAAATAGTTGATAAGTGGTTAGAATGAACCCGAACACTTAGATATGCGTAACTGAGTTTGTATTGTGAGTTAAATGTGTTCGGCTTACTGCACTAAAGTCGTTTGTTGATAAAATAGTTTGTAATAGATTTGTAATGAATATAAGTTATTTCTGTCTTCTTGCTGTGTTTGTAAGAAGCTGTGTTGTTAGCGTTTTCTTCTTGAAAATCATTGCCGACTGTGTTAAGTACGTAATCTGTGTCCAAATCGTAGGTTTCGTCTATTTTGATAGTTAGCGTCTAGTCTTTAGTCAGTGACCTCTTCACTTAACTTTGTCAGAAAAGCAGCAAGACAGTTAGCTTCAATACGCATGATAATTGACATAATGTCTAAACCTAGTAAACACGATCACTGATCACACGCCTACAATATTCGCGAATCGAAATGTCGACCAAATATCACGTTGTCTTAAATTTGGTAATATGAGTCCATGAGCTAATCGTTAACTATTAGATGCCCACACGTCATTGCAATAGTTTATATGAATTCGAATTTTTTAAATTTTAATCAAATTGTCACGAAACAGTGGTCGAATAACAAACAAAAAGTTTTTCTACAACTGAATAATGCATAAATTCTAGGTGATGGTTAAACCATTTTCAGTGAGATTTTGTTCTGTATTCAATTAACCCTTGTAAAAGTCCGAACTTCCATTTAAACAGTAGCAAATGACCTAGTATTGAACAGAATTCCGGCACAGACTCAGCAATTTTGATTGACTCTTTACCGAATTCTACCACTCAGGGTTTTATCTCAATGATGTTATTCTGCTGTGCTACCAATGTACGACATGAACTGATTTACTCAAATACCTATCATGTCCGATGCGGTGTATGTTTGACTGACTAACTATTATAATCAGAAGTATTCAAATTGACGTATCAGTTAAGAACTTACGAAATAGTTATTTGAAGCAGGTAGAAGTATTTGAAAATAAAATGAACCTTATGTGTTTAAATTCTATAATCGGCTGGCAATCAAGTACAAAAGGAATCATTTGTTCGTACAAATACCACCATGACTGGCCAACTGTAGCCATATCGGATTTGTAGTAAATGTTATGACTTGGTAAAGAGCTATGCGTTTCATCCTATTACCGTAAATTACTCTAATATGCATAATTAACCCTCGATATGTTTCCACAAGTAGCCACAAACGTACCAGACAGTCAGTCAGCTACAACCTAGAACTAGGCATATATATGCATCGGTCCAAATTGTCACACCTCATTAGCACAAAATGAACACAAATCCATGGTGTTAGTTAATCTGAGACGATTGTGTTTTTTATTTATGGTACCTTGTGGTCTGTCTAGTTGGTATATAAACTCAGTATGTTTAAAATACACGATTCATATTGCGGAGGCTCGGATTGGTGTTCTAGACTTAACTGATTAGGCTAGGCTGGAAGCAGCACCGATAAGGACCTCTAGGATGCTCGTACTGGTTTCATGCGTCATTGGTCCGGTTGATAAATCACTGTTCTCTAATTGGCGGTATCACACGTTTATCCCATCAACAGGACACACAGACCACAACTTATAACAGTCACTGCAATGGTAGTAATGAATAATAAGAACGACTGTTTATACGGGTATAGTACAGAAGTAGGAGGTAGTTTCGTAGAAACAAAGGTTTAAACTTTTTTTAACCTCACGGTTTAAGGGTAGGACAGTGAGTGTATTCACCTAGTCACAGTGATCGATTCTACGCCATGTCACTCAGAGTCTCCAACCATTGGTACGATAGTCACGCGGACCACAACCAAGTAGTTTGCATCTACAAACATGGCTTAGACTACAAGTTAGTGACCTGAAGCACTGATGCCACGTTTTGGTTTGGCCTTACCTAACTTTCTTCGAACCATTCCGACACTAGTCAGCAATGCGCGTCATGTAGATGGTGTTAGGCAACGTAACACGTGGTCCAATCAATCTCAGTCGATGAAGATTCACAACCTCATCAACATATTTATCGTCATTCCTTAATGTCCTGCGTATAACCATAAAGGTACGTGAAGTGCTAATCTAGAAAATCTCACAAAGTACATAAAGCCTTTTATATGATTATTAAAATGGTCCTATGTTGTACCAAGAATACATCAATTTCCTAAATAATGTCTCAGCCCTTCATCCAATAATTAATGTATGAATATATTAAACATAACATATACACACAAGACAAATATACAGGACGTTTACTTAAATGGTCAGGATCTAAGTGTTTGACTTTATTGCGGTCTAAAAGTTCATAGTAGTTGATAATTCCAACCACAATTATGTTGTAGTTAGAAATGTATTTTCAGACAAAGCATATAATGAGAATAACACCGTAATATGCCGACGTAGGTAGCAATCATATTAGAGCTCTTTTATCATAGCACCGGGTAATTGAGAACAAAGTGTGTGTGTAAGCAACAGTGTATTTGTGAGCGATAATCAGTATGTCATACTATTGTGGTCGATAGTGTTACGTCGTGTCTTGTTCAACCTAAACATAGTTTATTCTAGCTTCTCGACAAGCCAATCTATTCATTATTCCATGAACCACATTTTGACCTTGTCAGCTACTGCCCTGTTTATTCTGGTTGTTTTTACATGAGGCGTGTGCACTCACATCTCATCCTACCTACTACATGTCTGTTGTTTATTTTCTATTTGACTATAAGTATTGATTGAATCCAGTTGGATTTTATGCCTTCTTTAATCTGCTTCGTTCTTCCCTTTAAAGGGAAACATAATTATGTCTCACCTCCTAGATTGTCTGTTCAAATCAATGATTGCATAAAATATACGTATTCAAAAACTCATCTTGTATTTGGCTTATTTAATTCCGTTATTTATTAACTCGGATTAAGTCGATAACCATTTGCGTGGATAGGATATACATAATCAGAATCCATTCTCATATTTGACTGGTAGTTTTGAAATTAACGTTGTCACGTCAACCTAATCAATTTCAGTTTTGAAAGGTCAGTAGGATTGATGGCCTGTATTAGTCCAGGCAATTATAGTCTTTCTTTGATCAAACATTTTTTGAAAGAGTTGATAAAGTAAGGCTGAACCGCGTGTTGAGGAAATGAATTCCACTCGTTGAAGACTTGATGGGAAAGTCAGTGGAAAGCTGACAAACAAATTGTTCTGGGTTTGTGAAGCTTTCTGGAATGTCCTCGTAAATTCTCTGTTTTGGAA